GAACAGCCTTATGGCTTGTCGCGCCGCCACGTGATCGTACTAGATAGTTTGAAGAGGAAAGGGTCGTATTTTGCCGAGGAAGATTTTCTTCTAGTGGTTGGTTTCTCCGTTCTAGGCGCAATGTACAGTCCCGTTCGCTGCGACGTGGCCTTGGCCATTAGCACGCGCCAGCCAGTTAATCACAAGTGGTCGTCTGCTAACATCCACAAATGATGAAGAAAGGGCTGGTGCCCCGCTAAGACGCGTCAGCATCCGCAGGCTCCGAAGACTGCCTACCCTTCTCCCTCCGCCCCCACCCCCTCATGAGAGTGTCTACTCCCCTCCTACACTACTCTGCCCGTTCGACGGCAATCTTTCAGAAAGTAAGGCAAGGATGGGTCGGTTTTGGAGTGGATGGTATCAGAGTAGACAATTGGGGAGGGTGGTCGTTTTCAGCGAATCCTCTTTCCCAACGGCAGGACAAGCCGCAGCATCGTTCCGCTTCTCAACAACGTCAGTGCCAGCACGCATTTGAACACATGAACTTTATATTTGCTCGTCCACGGGGATAAAAAGCTCTGGTCGGGTATCCGTTGAAACATGGCGGCATGCACATACGTAGGACTGTGTTCGGACTTTGCGATGAGGCGGGTTATCGCGAAGTTTGAACGCAGCCGGGTGCTAGGGCAAGTTCTGGGTGCGTCGAGCAACCCGTAATGCCTCCTGAAGTGAGATGGTCCCCTGTGATTGTAAATAGTTCTGTAGCATAGAGCACAGAAAAGAAGCCTAAGCTGCTAGTGCTGGGCACGAGCTAGGCGTCTCTCTGCCCTCCCTGGCACGCTCTGGTCACATATGTTCTGCTCAGGTTGAATCTGTGGGACTGAGGGGCGAGGGATGAAGGAATCTTATCTTTATGGAAGTGTCAAACAAACTGATCTGGTCAAGTTACCACCTGTCTCCCTCCCCCCCCCTTCTTTCCAGCCACTCAAATTTTAGAGAAATTAGCGACGACTACCGACAGAACTCACTAGATAAAGCTCTGCTTGGGCAAGCGATTCGCCCAAACATGATCTCTTCCCTAGTCCGAACGGAACCACTTTTTGTTCTAACTTTTCGCTATCAAAATAGCGATCGGGATTGAACTGGAATCAGTAGAAATAAACGAATGCGCTCAGTGAATGGCTCGAATTTTTTTCTCACCTCGTATCGGTTTTTAAAGTCTTTCTCATCAGTCATGATCAGAGAGATCTGTGATAGTGGTTCCTTTAGGAATCACATAGGATCCGACGACAGTATCTTCAGATGTGTTTCGCCACAGATTCATCAGCACCAGTAGAGTACATCTGTGAATTTCCTGAAATCACATTTTCTTGGCGTCTCTAAGACACGTTTCGCGCTGATCCAATGGGCGGGGTCGAGCCTCTCTCTTCCCCTTTATCACATTCCTATTCTTGACTAGTAATACGGAGGGGAATACTTTTGAGAGAGTCACAATAAGTATACAGCATCGATGCTGTACCCTGAGTGCAAAGTGGTCTGATTCCGCTCGGGCCGATAAAGTCTTCCTCCCTCTGGGAACGGCAGATTGGTGCGAGATTGTTCCATGTTGTTCCGGGAGGATAAAATTTGACGTGCACATCGCTGGGCCCCCACATTCATTGTGTTGACCGTATCACATTCCACTAGCCACCACGGTTTCGAATGGAAGCAGAATGCGTGCTGCACCCCAAAAAGGAGGTTGGTCAACGGCGGTAGTTCCTTCCTCTATTTTTCTTTATGAACCCATTGTAGAGCAGAACCTTTGCAAAATAGATTGTATTCCTGTGGAAATTTGATTGCAGGACAATCAGAGACTGAGGGCAGTTTTTCTGGTGGATATCATGAAAACCTCAGAATAATGCGTAAGCCAACAAGCATACAATTTAAAAGATTTTATGAAATGCAAGAATGACAGGAAGAAAATAGGGCCTGTTCGCTGCGGCTGCTGGAGCACGTGGGCAGGCTGGGCTGCGCGGGGTCACCACGTTTTCCACCTATTGCTGTCGGTTTCCCCTCTTCCACAATTGGAGGAGGACGAGCTGGCCCGCACAAAACTGAGTCCACCCCCTGACAGGCCCCAGCATCCACAGCGAACAAAACTAAGATATCAGCAGTGGTTGGTAAACTTCCCCGTGTTGAACAGATTCAGTAGCTTCAGTTGAAATGAGGGTAAACGCAAGAACAGAAAAAAAATATTTACGGAAGAATACATGCCGTGAAATTAAAAAAATCTGCTCAAAATACAAACAAGCTAAGGGTTCATAATGATCGTCGTTCAAATTGAATGTGATAAGGTTGTGGCTTTCTGAAGAATTGGAGGTCATTCATGGCCTTCATGCTTGGCTTGTGTGAAGGATCGGCATCGATATTGTAACGAAGCAGAATGTTGGCGATGATCTTAAAAAGTAACGTAATATGTGCGCCGTGGTCGACAATACGTATGGTCGTTTTCGCTGCAGACGCCGGGGCGTGTGAGGAGGCTGGTTTTTTCGGTCGCCGCGCGCTCAGCCATTTGTCCTCACCGACACCTTAGGTCGCTTGCACCATTCAAAAGCCGATGGAGCACGGACTGGTGCCGCATCCCGCCCTCTGACACGCCTCAGCGACTGGAGCGAAAGCGATTATAATCTCGTACTAATTATAAACCTCACCAGATATAATTCCGCTTGAGCGAGCGACTCTCCGAGACATGACCTCTTTCCCAGACCGAATGGAACAACCTTTTGATCCAGCTTGTTACCATTTAGATAACGATCGGGGTTGAACTGAAAGTGAAATCATAAGAACCCTCGAGTTCACACTTTGGTTCGCGGGAAGCGGGCTTGTTTATTTGGTCACATGAAGCTGTTGAAAGAACATTGATACCGAGGCTGCGAGACAAATATGGTCTCGATTTGTACTTTCCCCGTTTCCATTTTTTAGCAAAAACTGCAACCATTTCTGGGAAACAAATGAAAGGGGTAGAGAGAAATGAAATTTCAGGAAGTTTGAAGGTAATTCAGTTCCTTGAAGGTATCAGGACGAGGAAGAGGGCCCTTATACCAGAGAAGGCAACTCTGACTGGGGTGGGGGGGGTATGCTCAGCCGTTACACCCCATTTCACCCATCACGATGCTTACACCTTGATTACGGATGATGTCAGCGAGACTGCGAACACCGTAGAGCATGAAGGCCCGTCCCCCCTTACCCCCTCTTCCCCCCCCCCTATTCGTATCGAGTTATCCAAGGCATTTATACCCTAGGGCGCCAATTGGCGTATTTAAAATTGGTAAAAGGCGGACTTAAATCGCCTTGTGTCGCTAGTTCGGAAAAAAAATAATGAAGTGGCACAGAGATATTACCAAAACAGCCGTCAGCCGTGCTAAAGGTATGTACCATCGAATGTACCTTAGGCGGAGTCACCCCGACCATAGTGGCATTCTCAGTTATATACCCCTCCTCTTTGTTCCCTTAAGGTTGCTGCAAGATTTATAGAAAACAGGAAAATAGCAATACGATCGATTTAATCTGCACATTCAGCTTTTTTTGAGGGAATTTCTTTACCTCGTTCCGGTTTTTGAAGTATTTTTCATCAGTCATAATGACAGAGATCTGAGCAGTAATGGTGGTTCCTTTAGGAATCACATAGGATCCAACAGCAGTGTCTTCAGATGTGTTTCGCCACAGATTCATCGGAAGTATTGATGCACATCTGTGGATTTCCTGAAAACAAATTTCCTAACGCATCTGAAAGACACATGGTACGCTCAAACTCCCGATAAGCCCAGGATGTGTATGAGACTATCAGCCCCCAGCTCTCGGATTGTGTTCGGCTCCCCTGCCAAAACAGTGCCCAGCGAATGGAGCATACCAGGACCCGTGAAACACGCTAATTCCTCCATGCTCCGCCTTATACCTTTTTGCGGCGCGGATTCCCGTCCTTCATAACATCCGTCGTAAGCGCGCGTGTCGCGTGCGGCTCCTTGGCACTTTGCCAAGTCCTTAATTGCGCTCTCAAACATCCAAGTTAAAACCACTGCAATCTCCTTTATGCGGATTAACATTCGAGTGTGCTACAACAAGTAGAACAGAAGCAGGATGACAAGGCGTTCAGAAACTCAAGAGCAACTCGGCTGCATCCGCAGAATCCATCAGAGGCCGCGCATTCCCAGAAAACATGAGAATAAAAACAATCCAAGCGTCCCACTCGTTTATTCTAAGTATTTCTATGGCTGCTCCGGATTCGCGCCGGATCGTAGAAATTTACAGGCGATTTTAACTAATTTGCCTTTCCTTGATTTTTTCATTTTTGTTTTGTTTACATTTACATCGTTGTGCTTCATTTCTAGCCTGTGTCATCTTCATCTCCTTGTACATGGATTTTGAAGCATGAGCAACACCTCAAATTTTATTCGCATCAGGAAATTGCGTTTTGCTTGTATTAAACTAACGAGTATGCCGTTTTTATTTTCATGTTTCGTGGACATACGCGGCCTCCGAGGGATGTTGCAGAAGTGGCACAGTTGCTTTTAAGTTCTGACCCTCGTCATCATCTTCTGTTCTTATTTTGCAGCACCTCCAATGTTATCCGCATCAGGGAAATTGCGTTTTACCTTTGGTGTTTGAGAGCGCAATCAAAGGGCTTTGGCATAACATGCAAGCGATTGCGCCGCACGCGCGACACTTGCGCGTTATCGCGATGTTATTGAGCGACGGAATCTGCGCCGCCAAAATGGCCTTGGGCCGGAGCAGGTGACGAGAATTAGCGTGTTTCACGGTCCTGTATCTCCATTCCTGCGCATGTTTGAACGGGGAAACCGCTATGCTTCGACAGCTGGGGGCTGCTAGTCACATACACCCTCAATGTGTGTGAGCGTACTATGTGTCTTTAAAACAGATGTTCGCGCTGGCCGCATGGGCGCAGTAGTTCTTAGTACTATGTCATACCGGCGTATTATCGATCGAGCATTGATCATCCTAGCCTGATACAAGGAGACACGTGCGTTCAACTAGCGGCAGCACAATAATAGGCTGGACATCACCCATACAGCCAGGGCGGGCTACAGTTTCAGTGGCCCCTGAGAGCCCAAACTCACCGTCAGTGTGGCGTTGTAGTACGGAGTGTTTGGCCTATCCGCGATTGAGAGCAAGCGTCGACCTTTTGTGAGGGAAAGTAGTTCTGCCTCCACTTTCCCTTTCACCTGGAATCTATGGCAAACATTTGGGGCAGAACCAACGCATACAATGAACCTAGGAAAACCCTCACATGCGGATGGAGAAGCAGGAAGGAAAAAGCCCATTCCAATGTTGTAATTGTAGTTTCTTGCCCAGCTATCCACAGGTCGAGCAGTGACATGACCAGCATTTCATCGCCTGAAAATTAGTGGAGTATAGAACGCAACTCATTTGAAGAAAGAATCATATAGAGCCTCACTCAAAGCTTGTTGGTACTCCACTTTCCTTATCTTTCTTCATTTGAACCAGAAAAGCATCAACAAAATCGTCGCCTTCGCCTTGCAGGACGTGAGTTCCGTTGGCTATTTCACGTTTCCTGGACAGAAAAGCCTTAGATGACAAGGTTCCATAAGTTGAGGTGTATCAGGCGCTCTACGCCACACAAAAAAGTGGATATCATCGCCAACTATGGCCAAGTGGCTGTCTCGAGGGTGTGGAATGGGCCCCTCCATGGCGATTTCTCAAGAAGTGACACTATTGGTGGAAAACGCCGCCAATCATCACTCGCTGGATTGCGACCATATCAACTATCCGTCGAAATGAACCCTTAGAACATTGTACAGGCTATATGGGTTTCAAATAGGTCACTACGAATCTGAACAGAAGTAGATGCTTGACCGCAACCCAAAAGGGATTGATGGACGGGCAAAAATTCGCCCCTCTCCTAATTCTCTCCCTTAGTTAGTCGGTTCAGCTTTGACCTAGTAGAGTGGGCCACAAACCTTTGCTCAATTTGATTACGTATGAAATCCATGACGGTATAGAACGGCTCCAACAGACGGTCTGTCCTCGATCTGATCAACGGCCAATTCACATTCCATTCTTCAACAAGCATGTCGAATAGTGAGGCGTTTTCCATCGTGTCATCCAACCTCTTCTTCAGAAAGAAGAATCTCTCTGCCTCTTTCTATAAAATCAAATTTGTCAACCTTAGGAAGAGCAGCAATTTCCATTCAAACTATACGCATACTCTGTGCAGCTTTTTTTACTGAACAGAGACACAGTCTACGTTGATCGTTTGGGTGGAGATTTACCAGTGTACATCTGAAGATTATGTTTGCGCGCACCTACTAGCGATCGCTTATTGCTGTCATTGACAGAATGGGCTCTTCAGCGTGGGGTATTCTGCCTTCACGGAACAGCGTGGACTGAACCTCCGGTGAAGGTGAAGGAGCAGAAATAGTAAAATAGAGAACGATTTAAACTTTGCTGCTCACCTTCTCGAATCTCTCCGTGAATAGCATTCTGTTAATGATGTTTCCTATCAACAACTCGAGATTTTCATGAGCATTTATGGATCTTCCCTCTGTCTTCAAGCGCTTGTCCAGTTCTTCACATCTGCAAATGGACACTCTGGTTTCAAGGTCTCTTTTTTTACAAGTGATAGGCTTAGGCCGCGCTCCAGCCGACGAGGTCTAACTTCTCACTATTATACCTCGAAGAGGTTCCCGGGGCTGAACCTCCTCGAGGTGGCGTAGAATACTGGTGCTTGTCATTGAAGGCGTTTCGGCGCAGCGCCAGCCCTTTTCCTCCAATTGTTGTCGCTTGTTCGCTTCAACAGCTGGTGAGGAAAGGACTGGCGCCGGGTCAAACCCAGCCTCCCTGACATAGCCCAGCATCTGAACAAGGCTGTACCATCTACCTGCGTACTTAACGATTCACGTATAGGTTTTCCCACTTAGCGGAGGGAGAATAGGAGAAGAAGCAATTTGGCGTTGAAGGGAAACGTGTCAAGAAGGAAAGTATAGTGTTGTAGAGCTTACAGTGAATGAAATGAGAAGTACTTGTTTATAGGAATTATCATTGTTATTCCTATATATCATTGTTTACATTGAGTCGGTCTGTAGTTATATGGTGAGGTTCATTCTCATTCGGATACGTCGGTCTCCCTGTGCTTCCACCTGATAAACTCCTTCATCGTCACCTGTTCGTCTGCACAACAGCTACAACATATAGATATCGATCTCGCGACTCGGGCAAGAAGGTGAACTCAAGGTTCTGTAAAAACGCACGCCAAATGACTGGATGTGTATCAATTTTGGATTCGCCGATTCTTTTATTCCCTCGTCGCAAAGCACTCAGGCCATGTTTATACTTGGGGACATGATTCAGTCGCGCGATTCCCAGATCACGCAAGTATATCAACCAATAGTGATTGCTGGTCGTTGGGCTGCTACATCCGTTGATCACATCCAGAGAACTTACTTTGACCATCTGGATTCAGCCACTAGATCGCAGCCGCGCGATTTGGGAATCGAGCGACTAACCGCTCACGTCGTGAAGTATGAACGCGGCTCTAGCGAACATTCCAAACCGGTCCTCCTTTTCTTCGACTGTTCACGCTCGGCCTCTAAACTTGCAACTCCTAATAGATGGGACAAAATGTCTTTTGCTCTATTATCGTATGTTCTTCAGAACCCTCAAGAGCACATGATTCTGAATGAGTCGCTAGTTTCATGCCCTTGTAATCTACCTATTAGCCCCCTGTTGCCTTTAATAGTTCGTTTCATAACGACTTACGCGATCTCAAATTCGAACATAATTCTCTCTTCGATTATGTTTCTTCCGAGACCGAAATTTCGAAGTGTATGCAGTGCAAAGCGACGCTGTTCCACCCAAGGAGTTCCATTTGTTGCGATGATTCCACGATTTTCTATGAAATGGAATTATCGAAAAAAAGGGTAAACGACAAACAGTGCATAGCATGGTTGGTTGGGCCATCAAGGCGGTCGTACGCTGGAAATAGGGCCGTATATGTCCTTCCGGAGCCGCGAGCAAATTCTTTCACTGGTTGTAAACTTTCAGTGATTTTTCCATTTCACGTTTTTCACTCTATCTATACCCCTAGGGAGCCAGGGAAACTTGCAATATTGTACGTAGATAGGGCGAGGGGTCGTACTGACACCACCGTCTCACACATCACGATGCCGTACCACAACGACAAAGCATTAGGCGTCAATATTTCAATTTTTGGGATTCGCTACGCAGTCTGCGTCCAAAGACTTCTCGTGTGCGATATAGTCTATGCAATGATTTGCCGCGGGGGGGGGGGGAGGGGGGTGCAGCCCATATGCAAGCCACTTTTTTAATCTTCCCAGACAACGTCGCCTTTTATTATTCCCGGAAGGTAGACGAGTTGCGGAACTTTTGCAGCTACAACAAACTCGCTCTAGCTGTGCTCAGTTGATATAACTCTCAGTGGTTATTCCTCCTAGATGAGTATGGCATAGAAGAACCTCCCATGGATGGAAAACTATTCTGGAGCTGACGGTGACGGTCATGAGATCCGAGTTGCGGCGGCACGGTCAGTTATTTTAGGGAAATGCTCCTGCATTTCTCTTTGCAGGTCACACATGAGGTCCCCTAGCCCATACCGAACGGCTGCCTATGCATATTGTAGAAATACTGCCTATTTTGAAGCGATAAAAAGTAACGAACTTCTCGTCAGCCTGAACATATAAAATATAGTTCGATCGGCGAACGTTGAGCCTTTTTTAACCATTGCATCCACAGCAGTGGAGTAATCGCAAATGTTTACAATCGGCATTGGCCCTAACCAAAAAGTGTGCAGGGATCCGTAGGCCTAAAACATTCCAGTACTTTAGCCCATGTTCACCGTATAGGCGTGACCAGTCAACCGTTACGTCCTGCTACTCTGAATATCCTCCCTTTAAGGAAAAAGTGAAGGGAGCACAACAGTTGACTGGTCCGCCTATACGATCTGCGTGGACTATGCCTTCAAATCGTATTCCGAAAACGAAGTTTTTAGACAGTTTCCCTACCTCAGCCCATTCCCGGATCGCATCGATGAAGCTTTTCTTTTCGATGAAAACCTTGTAGCCGAGTTGATGAGTATTACCAATTAGAGGCAGAGGGAACGGACCTGTAATCTCAATGACAATTCCCGCGTTCAGGTGTAACAGGTAGCAGGTACTCAGTCATAAATCAGTAAACCTCACCAGTTGAGAAAGAAGCTAAAAACGTTTGGGAAGCTCCTGAACACAGACCCTTCCCTAGTAGTGGGGCGGCGCCTTGGACGAGTTCATCATGAGGACAAGCCCAATCAGCATTATACTAGGTGCAGCCGATCACTGCAAGAGCATAGGAAATCGTCCTACGACTCACCAGGCAACGCTATGTAAACTCTAGTTCGCTGCGGACGGTTGGGCGTGTCAGCCAGTATGAGTATGCACAGCGTCAGAGCCGTTCTCTGCCTTCGTGTTGAATCGCGCATGCGACCAAAAGTAGTAAAAGACGAGTAATACGAGCTATATGATACAATATTGCCACTTGCCTGCTTCAACCACTGGTGGAGAACGAGTTTGGCACCGCGCCAAAAGCAGCCGCACTGACAAGCCCAACCATCCGCAGTGAACTCCACTATACACACGCACACAATTCCGCTTGTAAGGGAGCGTTCAGCAGCGCTTCGCGCGTTCGATGCAGTCGAAAACGTGCCCATCGATCGCGTCGAACGCGCGACCGTCGCGAAGTCTGAACGCTGCCTAAGCCGTTGTCTTGAAGAGGTACAGTACGCGGTTGCACTGTTGCAAAACTCACTCTCCGTTTCCTTGCCATTTTGAGTGACGAAAGTGGTGTTTTTTCTGCGAAGTGCGGACAACGATGCCGAATGCACGGAGGCATTTCGCTGATCACTTGGTCGCGGGAAATGTTTTAACATATTGCTCACCCCTTACAATACCGTTGAAGCTAGAAATCTATTTGCACGGAGAAAGCTTCTCGACTTTACAGATGCAGTGGAGTCCTAGACTTGACGCGCTCCGGTACGGATGTAGCAAGACAATCGTAATTCGCCGCGACTGTGGACGTCGCACGCGATGTCGTGCTCGCAGATCGGAATGTTTCTAGGTCCCAATTGGCGACACTATGTGATGTGTGACCAAAAATAGCAATAAATGTCTACGACGTCGTGGTCTACATGGAATCGCCTCTCCTGTCGGCAGGTCAATGCAACTTCCAAAACGGCACGCCCATCGTCGTAAGCTACGGAGCGGCTAATCACGATTGTCTTGACCGTCTCCCACGCGCCACTGCTAAGTTGAGTGGACTGGATGCTCCTCCCGCGAATACTGCAGGCGTCACTCAGCTTTTGACGCCCATTTCCTCGAACTTGCACTTACTGAAAATAATGCTCCACACCCGGCCAAGATTTACCATGCGCTCGTTCGCCTGCACCACTGGTCCCAGAGAGTAGTCCCGATTCTCATTGATATTAGGAGCTGCCTGAGGGATACACTCGTTCTTCTACTGACAGGTTGCTCACAACGTTCTCTTGTAGTGACCGCGAGGTGGCGATAGCGAACGAGCGCTTCATATGACAGGGTTCGGCACGAACACCGATAATCACCCAGTAGCCATGTTGGCGTCGCACCCCCCATGCGGGCATGTTCTATCGATTCCCTTATCGGATCAACTGAAGGTGAACGGGCATCAATGGAAAGACAAGCCCCGCAAACGTGTTGAGAAGATTAAAAATAAAGGTCCCTAACAAGGGGAGATAGGTTCTCTCTCACCATGGTCGAAAGAACTGACCTGGTGGTAATTTCCTCCGCTGAATCCATTGTTCTTATGAATAAATAGCTGACAATACCAACAATTATGGCTATGAATATCATTTTACCAATGCTGTAAAAGATTTGCGGAAAATGTAGCGATGGAAGATTGAATAATCATCCACGTTATTCTAGAGGGCAGCGAAAGGGACGTTTTTGCAATATGTTCTGAGCAGGGCACATCATTGGCTGGAAATTCTAG